TGGATCAGGGCCGCACGCTGGATCATCTGTGTGTCCAACATCAAATCTTGATGTTGATGGAACAGTTACAGGCTCGACTATTTCTTCTTGGTTGAATTGTTGAATGGCCGCTTCAAATTGTCGGCTGTACTGTTTGTAAATATTCAGGATCTCTTGATAATATTCCTTTTTTATGTAGTCGTGTCCGACTGGAATTGAATCAAGACTCTGAATTTTACTGTCGACTTCATCGAAGGACTCCCACGCTGAGTTTAAACGCTTCAGTCGTTCTTCATAGTACGCCTGGGTTTTCCTTGCCTGACCATCCTTCTTGAAGTTTCTTATGATGTTCTGGATTTCAGCACCTGTTTCAGCCTGTTGGTTGATAAGGTCCTCCATGGTCACCAGAAAATTGATTGTTGAAATGTTAATACGTGTGTGTCACCAAATGACAACAATGATGCGTGTATGTCCACAAATGACAATACTGCTGCGTGAATGACAATACTGATGCGTGATAGATCACGTGTATGTCCACAAATGACAATACTGATGCGTGATATCACGTGTATGTCCACTGAATGACAACAATGATGCGTGTATGTCCACAAATGACAATACTGCTGCGTGAATGACAATACTGATGCGCGATAGATCACGTGTATGTCCACAAATGACAATACTGATGCGTGATATCACGTGTATGTCCACTGATGATACAATCACGTGTATGTCCACAAATGACAACACTGCTGCGTGAATGACAATACTGATGCGTGATAGATCACGTGTATGTCCACAAATGACAATACTGATGCGTGATATCACGTGTATGTCCACTGAATGACAACAATGATGCGTGTATGTCCACAAATGACAATACTGCTGCGTGAATGACAATACTGATGCGCGATAGATCACGTGTATGTCCACAAATGACAATACTGATGCGTGATATCACGTGTATGTCCACTGATGCGTGATAAATCACGTCGGGGTCACCAAAAATGTTATGATCCGTACCTAGTTTGATACGGACTGAAGCTAATCCGGCACTTGAACCAACTTAGCTTTTCACGATATGTTATCCTCCGTATCTAGTCTGATACGGATTCACTAATCCGGCACTTTAACCAGCTTAGTAATTCACTTACGTAATCCGGCACATAAACCAGTTACGTAATTTATAGATATCTAGATATATATGTAAATATATATATAGATATTTATTTGTTTATTTTATTTTTATTATTGATTTTCAAATTCGGCACATAAACCGACTTTGCTCAAGGTTCTTTTAGGCACTTAAACCAAAAGAAAACACTTGGTTGTATTCAGGTTGTTAAATTGAATCAAATGTTTATTAAAAATGTTGTGCTTTTATACAAAATTCTTAACACTAAGCTTATGGTAAAGGAGGAAATGCACCCAGTTCCCACGATTTGTTATCCGATGGACTTTGAACATTCAAGGCCAAGGGCATTCGTGGGAAATATGTGCATTACCTATGCTTATACTATTTAATGCAATCAGCAAGCTGATATATGTATTTTGCCATATATCAACCTGCTTCACAAATTTGGTGACTTAAATGTGTTATCACTGAAGCCATGCGCCAACTCATATTGCACCTGTGGGAACAACAGAATTGTCGCAGCGACTTGCCTATTGCTGCAACTCACAACGAACACACGATAAAAGAAAATGAACATAATGCTTATCAACCTTGCACAGTGGCGTGTGAAGATGATCATGTTACGTCTGGCACGCTGCTAGCGTGCGAATATTTAGTTGTGAGAGCCAGCAACATTGCTAAATGTTTGATAACACAAATAAACACCAACAACAAAAACAACATAAGAACTAATTTAGGTACTTATGTACACATATAATTAATGCACTAATAAAAATACAATTATAATAATTGACAATAATAATACAATAATAAGAAAACAATTATAATGATTGATACAATGATAATAGATTTAATATGAAACTTAACACGCGGTACGAAGTTCGCGGGGTCACCTAGTTTATATATAAAAAGTAAAATTAACTCTTGAAATTGAAAATTGATTTTTAAATAGAAAATCATTACAATTTAAAAAAATTTAAGTTTTAGTAACAGAGATAGACACTGTAGACGTATACGCATATAAGTACATACATATATATATTTTTGATTTTACAATAATTTAATGTGTCATAAAAACAAAAAAATTTTGTTAATGTAAAAAATTAATATGTAGAAGCAACCCAAAATTGTTTAAGCACAAGCTATTTTTAACTAGAAAACATTTCTGTTTGCCATTATTATAGACTAAATTTAAAGCATAGTTTTAGGGATGAAGATATGAGTAATCGCTGCTGAAATTGCTAATGAACGTCACTAGAAAACGGGATCATAATTTCAATATTACAAAAATCATTCCTTATTCATTTTTTAATAAGTCTATACCTATTTCGTTATAGTATTTTAGTTCGGTACTTATGATAAAACACAATTAATTGACGTCAAATGCACATTTGGTTCATTTAAGGCAATGCAATTTTGATTGAAAAACAGAACCAGTTAATTACTGTGGATTTTTATTATTTTATATTCAAATGTACAATAAATTAAAATAGAAAACATACATATTTCTTTTTAACTAGACGATAATAAATAATAATCATAATAAGTAAATCAATTTCGAGTTGAGGAAGTAAACTCAAAAAAAAAAGACAAAACATTTTGTACAAACTATTTTCATATATTCCAAATGTTATTTCTACATAAAATAAAAGAAGTACAATTAGTATATAAAATTTTAAAACAGAATTCTATAATATTAAATTCTACACAAATATACGTACTCACTCAAACACGATTTCTAAAATTTATCTGTGAAATAAAATTGCGAATTTTCTAATCATAATGTATTTGAGCGTTTCACCAAAAAGTGCCATGCGACAACCGAAACCAGCTTTCTTTCGTTATTTTTGTTCTAAAAAAAAGTGGATACTACAAAAATAGAGCAAAAATCTTTTAAAATCATAGTAAACGGATATGACATTAGCATCCAAGTCTACAAAATTACATTATTTTTTTTTATTATGAACATTATGTTATATAAAAATCATAGTAAACGTTGTGTGTTTTTCAACCGGCAGCTGGAGTTTTAAAACTTCTCAAAAATACTTGTAAAAAGCGAAATGTTGATTAAAGTCATTATTTTTTAATTTGCCGTATAAAGCATATACTGAACGTAACATAAAAGAAGTTGAATCAAACGGCTTGCGTGCCATAAATAACTTTTACATCTTTCTCCAGGTAATTCCATGTTATTTCTCGTTCGCACAACACTGGCAATTTTTGTCTCTCTTTATCTTGTTGCAAAACGGTCCTAGAGACTCATTCATTCCGTTTTTTGGCGTGTAGCATAAATTACAACTTTCCAGAGGATACAAAGTTAAGTTCATTACGTTTGTTTCACCTTTAAGCGCACAACTCGAAATATTAAAAGTTAAATTGCAATTTTTTAATTTAAATTAACAAAATAACACTTTACACTCTAAGCAAAAAATTTGTTAAAAACACAACGCAACACAATATTGATTGAAAAATTGATTGAAAATTCTTAATTATCAAATTAATTAATAAATACACAGGACTGCAGTAGAAGACTGCATAATTATACAGGACTGGTTTCAAATATAATAAAAGATTCTTATGGATATGGTGTCACCAATTACACTTTGCTGACTGCTAAAGTAGTTTAAAAATATTCTAGTTCTAGTTGCCAAACTCAAATAGTCAAACTATTTAAAACAAAAATCAGATTCTTTTAAAAACCGGGCTAGGTTATTACGACTACAAACAGAACGATAGAAATTACTGCTTAAAATAAAGCGACACTTAAACTCAACAATAGTATCTTTATTGCAAAATATCTAGTACTTTTAGCATTTATTGTAGGGAAATAATTTAGTTTTGTTGTAAAATCAACTTGAAATTACCGACACGAGAAGCATTTCAGATGAATTGAATGCCTTAAATAATATAAACAATGCTAAACATTTTTCATCTATGTTTCTGTTACCATGCTTAGCTTAAATTTCATTTAACAAACATTCCATGTTTTTTTATCATCTTCCCGCTGGTGATCGATCTGTAGTCACATTAGCATGTTATTCACCTTAACTTCAGCCTACTATTCTGATAACTTTGCTATCCGGATCTTAAATAACTTCGTAGATGACTCAGACTTAATACTTCCATTGCTTGGTAATTTCGATAACTGACAGTTACGATCCTGGCACAAGCGAGTCTATACAATACACTTTATTTGAATTAAAAAATTTAACCAGAGACATAAGTCTTCCAAAGGTTCAAGGGAGGTCTAAGGATTAGTGACTACTCATACATACCAAAAAATTAGAAACTTTAAGAACTTAAGAG